TTTTTTGCGGGACAAGTAGGGGGCTCCACTGTGGGCCCCTTCTTTTCACATGACCCCCCTTTTTTTTTTGGTGTTTCGCACGATTGGAAAAGGTTAACTGTGTCTTTTTTTTTTTTTCCCCTGGGATTTTTTTTTGGGGAAAGGAGAGGGATGGGTCTAGGGAAGTGGGAATGTGGGAGGGAGGGTGGGGGTGGGGGTTGGGTGTCCAGGGGAAGACTGGAAATGCTGCCGCCTTCTGCAATTTATTTATTTTTTTCTTTTGAGAGAGTGAAAGGAAGAGACAGATACTTGAAACCTGGTGTGTGGCCTGATTATTTGGGACTTGGGTGAGGAGGGAGACAGGGTGGGAGCATGGGGCTGACCCCCCCCCACCCCCCCCTCCCGCCCCCAGTAGGGTAGAGGGGTCTGGAAGGCCTTGGAGGGAACCTGCAAATCAGGGGATGAGCCTGGAGGCACTGGAGCTCTGTCCACTCACTGACAGCCCTACAAGGAGGCATACGTTCCTGAAAACGTAGCTCAGCCCAGCACGAGGTCTGTGAAGGGAAACACAGAGGCCACTTTCTGTTCCTGTTCATGGAGCTGTGACCTGAGCTGGGCTCCAGCGACCGTCTTCACAGAGGTTTGCTGATGAGAAATGCTGTGTAAATACTTATTCATTGGATTTCTTTATGCCTCATCTCTACGGAAGAGATTTGAAGCAGCCCTAACCTGTTTGGCTCAGTGGACAGAGCGTCGGCCTGCGGACTGAAGGGTCCCGGGTTCGATTCTGGTCAAGGGCATGTACCTTGGTTGCAGGCACATCCCCAGTAGAGGGTGTGCAGGAGGCGGCTGATCAATGTTTCTGGCTCTCTATCCCTCTCCCTTCCTCTCTGTAAAAAATCAGTAAAATATATTTTTTTAAAAAGATTTGAAGCAGTTTTGCAATTGATAAGGGTAGGAAAATAGAACTTAATACTAAAGATAAAAATAGGAGAAACAATTGCTGTAGCTATGAGTATAAAGATAATTTCTGAGCTTCCTAGTAGACCAGGCAAAAAGAAATGGCATATATATATATAATATTTTATTGATTTTTTTTACAGAGAGGAAGGGAGAGGGATAGAGAGTTAGAAACATCGATGAGAGAGAAACATCGATCAGCTGCCTCCTGCACACCCCCCACTGGGGATGTGCCTGCAACCAAGGTACATGCCCTTGACCAGAATCGAACCGCGGGACCCTTCAGTCCGCAGGCCGACGCTCTATCCACTGATC